ATAAAAGTATAAGTGATTCATTTGGCTATTCCTGCTTCTGCTGGTTTCCAGATGCATCATAAATAGTTCTATACTGTACTACGTACATGTGCAAACTGCTATAATTCGAGGTCAAAGAGAAGAAAAGATTCATTTTTCCCTTTTATTAATTTTCTTCTTTTTTTTCTGGAAACATCACTATCCAAGAGATTTGACACTTTTCAAAGCAAGCGAACATCCTCAAACAGCACAGCCAACAGAATCAACACTACAGGTTCACTTGAGGAGCGGGATTATAAATCACTGAACAACCTTTCAGCTCGCATCCGCATTTTACAGAGATTACATACCACGCATAGAAGAACATTCAAGCGTACATAGCAAAGTGTGTGTGTTTGTGTGTGTGTGAGCGTGTATGTGTGTGCCAACAGCTGCTCTGGGATCAGAGGAAATGCTTAAGGCATATTTAAACTCTTGCATATGCTCATATGATAAGAAAAAGCCCAGGGAAACTCACATTGGACAATTCTGTTCTCAATTTATGCCATATTTCCACACCAATCTCAATGGAAAAAAAAGTCTCAAATAAGAATTAATTATTGAATGTCGAAAACAAATTTGTTATAAATACAAAAAATGAAAAAAAGATTGTTTTGATTAGTCTAAATAAACTTGAATAAAATTTTTTTATATCACTTGCAAGATGTAAAAACAAACATCTAAGCCTATTCCTTTTAAATGTATATATTAAGCCTATCTATCTTCCAGGGGTTCATAGAGCTCTATATCCATGCTGGTCAACCAGCTACCCGCCAATCAACAGGTATAATTTCTTGTTTTTTCGGCAGGTAAAAGTTAACAATTGTATATAAAACCATCTCTCCAGTTGTGAGAAAAGGGCGCGCATACAAAAAAGAAATAAACAAAAGGAAAAAAAGCAGGAACCAGACGACGACGTGTCTTGTTTGGAAGGTACTGTACGTATGGTTTCTGTTACACTGACTGTAATCATAATGAGTTGAAAGAATCCAGCCATTGGATGTTGTTTAGCACCAGGCCCAGAAGTGTTGCTATAGGGACGTGCTTCCGATGTGTTGCCGGTTGTTAAGCAGTCTTCATAGTGACAGTGGTAAAGTAATGAGGTCAGCAAGGAAAAAAGAAAACAATCATAACACTCATGAGGCGATAACTAAACGTACTGAACACAAGTATGAATCATAAATGATAACCCCATTCCAGCACAAGACAGACAGGGAATAACGTATGTTTGTGTTTCTCACAGAAACTTGGAGTTCACTCACAAACTTCATAATAGAGGAGGGAGGAAGCACTATTTCAATGTACCTCCGAACTCATTTCATAATAGTTTCTCAGAGGAATGCAAAAGTTTTGAGTGAATAAAAGCACAGATGTTATCTCCACTGTTTATTTAGGGGCTCTATTTTTTCTCACTTTGGAGCTACTGATCGTGTGACTGTAAGTAGACACGTGCACACACACATACACACAAAAACTAAGTACTCAGTATGCGAGGGTAAACCCTGTGAGCACTAGAATGAATCTGCACTTGTGTGTGTTTCTGTGTTGAGTCACAGAGGAAAAGGCAAGCAATGGAGAATAATGATACAGGCCAAGATTTGGCAATGTGTAAGAGGGAAAAGAAAACAGCTGGAGGATGGGTTTATGAAATGAAAAACAGACTATTAAAAAAAAAAAAAACAGTTCAGCCATCGCTAATCCATGCTGAGATTTAGGCAAGGCACATTACACCCATTTAAAGCCTTGTATCACCACTTTTTATTTCCTATTATGCCTTCTTTTGTCTGGGCTGAACGAGGTATAGCACCATCCACAAAGAGTTTTGTGGGATTTAGTCATTCTATTAGCTTTTACGCTAATCTACATGTTGAGAGTAAAATATTAAACAGTAGAAAACACATTTAGAATTTTCTTAAGGGAAAACAAACCAAAGTATTGATGACTCATTTTGCTCTACACAGCTTTTTGTCCAATCAAATGCTGTCTGCTATGTCCCTCCCTCAATGCTAAGTGCAACCAGCTAGCATTATCAAATACCACACTATTATTAATGGCTGTGATGTACCTAAACGTATGTTTTTTTTAATGCAGAGACAATCCCTTCAATGTGTCCAATAAAAACATCAAAAACCAGGAAAAGCTGAGAATATGTTAGCTAAATTAGCTAACCTAGCTGCTCAGTTCAATGCCCTTTGCATTTAAAGCCTGTTTAGCAAGTTTTCTGCCCAACTTGGGTGGAAAACAAATAAAAAAGCAGAAATAAACACCAAAACATGGAGCTGCCATAAGAGCAGTTGTTGAAAGTCACCGTTAACTTACTCTCTTTTATTTTTTGACACTTTCATAACATAATGTAGCATTTTACTATGGCACTAAAATGGATGTCAACATTAAGAACTGCGCTGCGTTAACTCACACTCAGAAAGCCTGTCAAAAGCACGATGACAAGTTAAGAGGAAAATCTGGCACCTTTGTATCGGTTTACCGGCTATTTAACATTGAACAGCCTTTCAATTGTTTCAAACGAAAAACATGAATAAGCTCATGTTGGAGCGAGCAGCACATCTCAGGCACAGCTTGGAGTTACAAAGATACAAAAAAAGATACATTAGCACATCGGTTGACATAGAAAGTAGCGGCATAGTTTCTTGTAAATCCTCACAACTCACATGACATACTCGTACTGCGCTCCAACCGAATCTACACAAACATCCATCTTGGGGTTGTTTAGCTCTTAAGTATATGTCAGTTAATAAGTACTGTATATGCGCACAGTTGAATACATAGCCTTTCAAAGTATACACATAGGCTATATGTACACTAGACACATTCATTCCTTTCCAGTTTTCCTGTTTAATTTTGCTTGACAATTTCAGAGATAACATTTGGATGTGCTAGATATTTTCACTGTTTTTAGTTTTACAAAATGTGGTGGCAAGTTAGCCTCTAAAGCTATAGGCTAACTAACCATAAGCAAACCATATTTTACCTCAGGTTCTCTTTGGAGGGTTGACAGCCCATATTGTCTTCTTCCATTAAGCCAGGAACATGTTCACTGTCATGTTTTTATTCTTTTTTGCACTTTCTTTTAGGACAACAAAGCCAGAACTAGGTTTCAGGAAGTCAGTCGCTAGTTCAATCACTGTTTAGGAAGCAATCTGACGCATCAAGATTTTTAGGATTGAATCATAACAGATTTGTTAGAAAATATGTGTAGTCTGAACATCGGTGTCTTGCTTTTCAAGTTTTGTTGTTAATGTTTTGTCCTCATTTCTTTTTCTAAAGTAAAATAACAGCCTGTTTTTGTGTTGACACCCTGTCTACAAACTAAGTAGTGCAATGACAGCTCAAAGTATGTGCAGTAGCGTACAGTAAAATGCGGCAGGGGCCCCGATCTAAAACCGAAGAGTGTGTGTGTGTGTGGGGGGGGGGGGGGGGGGGGGGTGTTATGCTCATCACAGGACTTTTAGAAACACAACCACTGTTCCAATGATGGAATCATCATCCTGGCCATCATCATACGCACTATATACAGACCAGGGGTGGCACTGGGGGAGGGGTGGCATTTGGACGATTTTTAGGGCCCATGCCGTTTTAAGGGCCCCAGAGTTACTATTAGGGGCTCCCCAATTAACCAACACCACCCCAGCCTGCTCTTCATTTACAACTGCGAGATGTCGCCACAACCCACTCTATCTCGGTCTTTACTTTCATTTCGTCTTTGATGCCCCCTTCCCCCTTTCCATGACAACATCAGCAGCATCCTGATACAGACCGTCGTGTACGGTGACAATCTGAAGTATATAGGAAAGTAACGGCATACAACATAGATAAAGCTAGCTTTATGCATTACTTAAATGAGTAGTATAAATGGGATTCAGACACACTACGTCATGGCCAATTACAGTCAGTTGTGTTGCTTTAAGCCTCATTCTAACTACGAGCGACTCACTGTGACAAAGTGACAAGCAATCGTTCATTTCAATGGACAGTGAGTGAGTGACTTCCGGCGACCTCTGCCTAAGCGAGCAACAGTGACCGTTGGCAGTCAGGTGGGTGTGGCAAGCGACACAACAAAGTTGAGAATCCTTCAACTTTATGCAAATAAAGAACGACTTTCTTGAGCGTCAGCCAATAGTAGCACTAGTAGAGCCCACATGATCCTCTCTTAGCTTGGTGAGAGTCCGGTTGTATTCGTGCTGTATAGACTTACACAGACCTGCATTTACAGCATGTCACCACCCAGAGCAACAGGCAGCTACAAAGTCGCTGCTAGTGTGAATGAGGGGTCACTCCCATATCTCTTCTGAAGTTGTAGGACATCCTGGCACTTCTCACCTACAGTTTTTCGAATACCATGAATTCAGACAAACTATTCCGGTCACATTGTGTTTTTCAAATAGTATATAGTAGAGACGGATGTAATTTTGGATGCTCTGCATGTGTGCAGGACTAACAAAAGCTGTATTAAATAAAAACAAAAATGTTTTTGCTCATATCTTTTGGAGCAAATATGTAGACACTGGAAATGAATGAATCGTTCTAGTACACATATGTCTGGTTATGCTTTTACATGGAGCATACTTTGCAAGATTATGTATCCAGCTTTTTTGTGTCAAAACTTACATACTTTTGGCTTTAGTTTGGTAGTAAAAATGAAACTAGTTCCACAGCGTCACAAACAAGCTGTTCTTTAAAAGTGACTTTAAACCAATAAGTAATTCTACATTGCGTCTTCTTTAGCTAGCACCTCCTAAAATCCTTTTATTAACAGCTCACCGTTTCTTCACAGCCAAACAAAACCTTGACATTCTCATATTCCTAACCTTTAAGAAAGCAGCGCGATCCAAAAAAAGAGTTTGAAGCCAAAAAAAGGATGTTTTTTCAGCTAGAATGACTTGCGCTCTTCTCATTTTCTCCAACATTGCTAAGCTGCTTGTTTTTACATGCGGTTTCTTCTTCAATAACATCAACAGGCTTAATTTAATATCTCTGGTTGTGAAACGACACATGGTTTTTAATTAGCGACCACTGGAAAAGCTTCCTTTTATTGACTGGTACAGAAATGATCGCACTGAATGCCAAGGAAAAGGGCACGGGTGGAATATAATCTAATGATGACACTGATGTAAACTGAGTACAAAGTGTATAAAAAAAATCAAATAAATTCCTAATTTAATCGACTTATAGCCACAAACAATGAAACAAGAAACTCAGTATGCTAAACCCTTGCTCTTGTTAATGAGTAAACAGCTTCTAGTACACACACTTGATCCCTCTGATTTCCAAAAAAACAAATAAAGTTAAATACAAAAAATAATAACATGACTCGTGGCGGGTAGAAGGTACAGTATAAAAATCATACAATCAGAAGTGCTCAAATGTGGATGGTGGATTTGTTTCCTTCTCTCTTCATATGAGGCGAATACTCTTTTTTTCTTGTCTAGATGTCTCCTTTAGGAAGTGGTGTAGGGTTGGGAAAGGGAAAACAATGGGAATGAGGGTAAGAGATCAGGGGTTAGGAGAGTAGAGAGTGCAGAATCATAGGCCCTGTGGAGGGTTCGGTTCGTGATTTGATGCGGTGGTTTGGGCAAACACCTTCGTTTATTGACACCTCTCTCCCCCAACGCCCTGCCCTCCTGTGGGATGGAGGACTAGTTTAGCCCAGGCTGGTGATGTTGGCTCTGCCACCAGGGGGTGCCACAATGCGTTGGGTGTTGCGGCGAGGGATGTTGTCATCAACTTGAGCACCTGAAATTATATAAATTTTTTAAAAATTGCACAAATGGTCATGTCCAAAAGTACGCAGGTATTTAAAAAATCTGAGATTTTCACGCTTTAATAATAAAAAAAAAACTTCCACATGACAACGCAAAAACACACTCTGATGTAGGGATGGGCGATTAATCGAAAAATAATCAAAATCAATATTCAGAACCTATTATTAATCAATTTTTTTCTGTTCAATTTTTTCAATTACTTTCCCTACCGCGTGCGGAATCACGTGACCCTGCTCTGTTTACACTTTCGTTGAGGGCAGCGTAAGCTCTAATGCAGCCTTCACTGTGACTGATGCCGATGCTGACCTCTCAAAAAATTTACTACACATTACGACAAAGCATAACGCAAGCTCTGTGATTAGTCAGCTTGATAGTGTTGACGAGTGTAGGTGGCGCGGAAAGAAAATAAATAAATAAATAAATGAATAAATAAATAAATAAATAAAAGAGTTGTTCATGAATCTTAATCGAGTTAAAATGTTCAATTAATCAAGAATTTCATTTTTGGCCAAATCAAATGGGGAATGAAGTATTTTTGTGAGTACATTGCAAATGTGAGAACAGAGGTGGATTAGCGTCCCATGGTCGAACAATGTGGAATATGTTTTTTGAACGTAAAAAATTTGCCTCATTCACGTCTTCGCATTTAGTGTGAACCCATCCTTCTTGGCCAACCAGAAAAGAGAAAATAGCGTGTACGCTGACATGAGGCAAAAACCCCGGCTGAATTGTCCATAGAACCACACTGTACCCAGAGTTCCGAAAAATCTTTACCCTAAAGTCAAAAGTTTTTGTTTCAGCCACCTGATACTCCTTTTTCATGAGGACAAACAGAGAAACCGCATAAAAAAATGTAAGTAGAAAGCCTAAAACGTAACAATGTTTTTTTTTATTTATTTTTTTTACTCTAACTGGAATTAGACTAAAATCACAAGATATAAAAATTTCAACTAATTTAAGCTATTGATAAAAAAAAAGCAATAGTTAGTGATACTAATATTAGACATTTTCAGTTGGTCACCATTGAACATTTCTCATTTTGATTTATTTATTATGATGACAATAAAATTATTACAAACTAAATACACAAACATAAACAAAGCAAAAGTAATTAAAGATAACAACAAATTATAAATACAACTAATATTAATACAACTAAATATCTTTAGAAATATCAAAACTGTTCAAACTATTGAAAATATATAACTGTGAAAATAACAATATTAGCTAAATGATAATAAATGAACAATGGTACAGATTAGCCAATAAATTAAATCAATTACAATAACAATTAAGCATTTAAATACATTAAATAATAAAAACTACAGTTGAAGTCATACTTATTAGCTCCCCTTTGAATTTTTTTCTTTTTTAAATATTTCGCAAATGATGTTTAACAGAGCAAGGAAATTTTCACAGAATGTCTGATAATATTTTTTCTTCTAAAGAAAGTCTTATTGGTTTTATTTCAGCTAGAATAAAAGCAGTTTTAAACTTTTTAAAACCATTTTAAGGTCAACATTATTAGCCCCTTTAAGCTATATTTTTTTGATTGTCTACAGAACAAACCATCGATATACAACAACTTGCCTAATTACCCTAACCTGCCTAGTTAACCTAATTAACCTAGTTAAGCCTTTAAATGTAATTTTAAGCTGTATAGAAGCGTCTTGAAAAACATCTAGTCAAATATTATTTACTGTCATCATGGCAAAGATAAAATAAGTCAGTTATTAGAAATGCGTTATTAAAATTATTACGCTTAGAAATGTGTTAAAAAAATCCGCTCTCTGTTAAACAGAAATTTGAGAAAAATAAACGGGGGGAATAATAATTCAGGGGGCCAATAATTCTGACTTCAACTGTATGTATTTTTATTATTGTATTTCGTCTAGCTGCCAAGCAAATATTTCTCATTTTCATGTAGTCTAACTTGATTTGCTACAATTAATACATAAAAAAATTACTAAAACACAGAAAACATGACTTAAAATAAAAAAAAAACACGGAAAATGTTAAAACATTAATACATTCTCTAAAACAAAATAAAAACTTATTGTAACTTAAAACAAGTACAGAAAAGCTACTACAATAAAATCCTTGATTAATAGGTTCTTTAACGAATGTAGCATAAAAATATGTCAGTTTAAAATGAATAACAACTTAAAGAATGAATTTCTCTAATACCAGATAGCAAGGAATGTTGTTCAATTGGATAAATTATCTTTATTGACTTGCGTAATGTGTGTTGTTGTGAAGTGCTCACTCACCAGAGAGGCTGAAGCCGGACTGGTGCAGGTTGCGGACGGGTTGCCCGGGCTGCTTGGCAGGAGAGGTTTTAGCAGAGGAAGCAGGCGTCACAGCTTTGGGCGTCACTGACACTTCACAGACCGGCCCGTCGTACAGACCCCGCGGGACGCCCCGCAGTTCAGCAAGCTAAAACACCACAGTGCAACAACTTATATTTTCAGTAATCTATTTAATTATAATATTGAAATTGTGAATGTAATCATAAAAATAAATGCTACTATTACTAATGATTATTTCAATAGAAAGTATATATATATATATATATATATATATATATATATATATATATATATATACACTTTATATATAACATTCTATTTAATTATTATTTATAAATTATAATACATTATACTTTGAATAAAAATGCTAATGACAACAATAAAAAATCTTTTGTATTGTACGATTGAAAGTAAATGTAAATATTGTAAGATTTTTGAAATGTAAACATGTAAATATATTAATAAACAATAATAAGTCAAAAACAGCATTTACAGAATAAACAGCATAAATTTTTGTTATGGATACATTCATTCATTTTCTTGTCGGCTTAGTCCCGGAATGAATCGCCAACTTATCCAGCAAGTGTTTACGCAGCGGATGCCCTTCCAGCCGCAACCCATCTCTGGGAAATGTTATGGATACATATTTAGTTTATTGATTAATGTGTGTAACTCACCCTGCTGCGGGCCTTTATCCTCTTGTAAACGTAGTCAGGGAAGGGTTTGCGGGATATGAAGCGTCCGGACCCTTCAGTGGTGTGCAGGGTTCCTTCCTCCAGCACAATCTTGCCCTGACTGATGACCACCAGGGGCACTCCACGCACCTCCATACCCTCGAAAATGTTGTACTCCACTGCCTGCAAAACAACAAACAGACCGTCATGCAGTGACATCACTTTTCACAGCCTCCCAAGGCTGATTGTTGTTTAAATCAATGATCAAGTAATCGATTAATCAGTTATCGATAAATGATGGTTCAGTGTCTCATTGGCAGGATGTGCAAATGACACTCCAAAAAAAAACCCTCCCTACACAAATCAAGGCATTTTTACTGTAAATATTAAACGCTAGTAGGATTGTGGAAAGAATCATTTAATAGAAGCATTTAATGGGTAAATGTAATGACAAGTATACAAAATATCAAAAGCGCCTCTCGGGTATAAATACGATCAGCCGGTACATGTGTGCGTCCATTGCTGCATCCAAACACTTTTGCCAGTGAATTAGGGTAATTAGCATGCTTAGAACAGCTTGGACTATTTGGAACAGTACTTTGGGTTTTCCCATTGACTTTGACAGTTTGCAAAGGGTATGAATAATTTTGGACATGTCACTTTTTGTTCAAATGTAAATAAAAGCTGAGAAATATATATATGTTTTCCCACAAAGATGCCTCTTGTACATCATCTTTTGGGATAAGCCTGTGTCATTTCCACTCAAAAAAAGAAAAAAAAATTGTAAATAAAAAAGCTTGTAAATAAAAGTATCTTAAAGTCAGAATTTGCCAATAATTTCGGGTCTGAATCTAGCATCAGCTTACAGAATAAGAACATTATTTTCTGAACGTTTAACTTGTTGATGCTAATGAGGTCAGAAATCATTTCACAAACACTGCTGTTCTTCTGGAGGTTCAGAAATGCAGTAGAGCGAAAGCAAGGCATGTTGTAAATGAAAGGGAGGGAAAGAGGGAGGAAGTATATAACGGTTTACAGGATGTGTGTGTGTGAGTGTGTGTATGTTGGCTAAAGTGTGACCACCCTTCTAAATGCTACTGGCGGTTTCCTAAAAGCAATACAGAGTGTCCCACAAGACCTAAAATCAGCATGAGGCTATTCACTGACTCTGATAAACCATGCACACACATATTCCATTAATGCAGGGGTGCCCAAACTCTGTCCTGGAGGGCCGGTGTCCTGCATATTTTAGTTCCAACCCCAATTAAACACACCTGAACAAGCTAATCAAGCTCTATCTAGGTATACTAAAACTTCCAGGCAAGTGTTTTAAAGGAAGTTAGAGCTAAACTATGCAGGACACCGGCCCTGCAGGACTGAGTTTGGACACCCCTGCATTAATGCATCTTTGCTGATTAAATGTAAGATATTCTTTAAACTTTTACAAACCTATACTTTTAAAAAAGCAGTTTCAGCTTTTTTTTTTATTTCAGCAAATAACTACTTTTAATAAATATATTCTGTTTTCTCAATTGGGGACATTTTTTCCCTGATTCTACTATAATTTTACAATTTAAATAAAACATTAATCTAAAATATGATTATATTTAGGGCGACACGGTGGCTCATAATGTATCTGTGTGAATGGGTGTGTACGTATGTTGCCCAGTACTGGGTTGCAGCTGGAAAGGTATCCGCTGTGTAAAACATATGCTGAATAAGTTGGTGGCTCATTCTGCTGTGGCCACCCCAAGTGAATAAAGAGACTAAGCCTAAGGAAAATGAATGAATGAATGGATATATTTTAAAAGTAATCATTACACAGCAAACCTATCAAAATTAAACTACTGTACACCTATTATACCTATAATGCATTGTTTAGGGGGAAAAAAGATCATTTTATATTCATAGAAAGTGTATTAAATGCAAGTAAAGTGTTCACTTGTAATGTTTCAAAAACATTTTATAAAAATAAAATATTAAAATATGGGCGATTTAAAGTTGGATCTTCATTCAGTGTAATACATACTTATGTAAAAATTAAACAACACTGTCAAAAAACTGACATATTTGAGAAAAACCTAGTGGCTCGAAGCATAATATTAGTACTCATATTTTTGGTCTACAGTGCAACATTTAAATAGAATCTTTAATAAGTCATAATATTATTATAGTTCTACTAGGCATGGGCTGGTATACTGTATGATTCTGATGGTTTGATAACCTTGGATAAACATATCACGGTTTCACGGTATTGTGATCACTGCTCTAAACCATATTCATTTTTAATGTCTGACTAAAAAACTAAACTTTTTCCCATTTGAACACAACATATTTCATTTTAATAAACATTTTAAATATTTTGGAGCAGTAGCTAAACATGCCAGGCATAATCATTCAAATGTATCATTGCTATCTTCATTAATTACAACAACACAGATGTTTTACATGTTAAAACAGTATCTTTGGATATCTTTTCTGCTGGAGATACTGTTGTTCTAAAAAACAAACAAACAAACAAAAACCTAATAAAAAAATCATACATATAACGCAGGAACGGTATAACAGAAAGTTTTAGTGGTTTTAAAACTTTGACTTTTCCAAACTGCGGTATACCTTGAACAGTTATTATCCCATGCCTAAGTTCTATATATGCCTGACAAGACAATGCCTGCCTATAAAGCCCTTTTCATATTTGACCAACACACTAACGTATTAATATTTACATTATACTAACACACTATTTATGATTTATCTTTAATATATAATATTTATCCTAGTTTTACTAATAACATCAATCTAGGTTTTAAGATGTTTAGATCTAGAATAAACATAATATCCACTAGACAAAACAGCACAACCCTGGAGAGCCAACATTCTCTTAGCCCACAAACATAAACGTAAGACATTAAAATAAGATCCTGATGCCGATGTGTTTCTGTTCCTCCTCCAAACCAGGAGGGAGACATCAATTACCCAGCAGAGCTGAGAATGACATCACCGCATGAGTAAGCCCACACCCAACATTTGGTCAACATAACCAGTGTTCACTGGTCAAACCACTGCTACACTACACTGACAGAAGTACGTTTCACCACAACACTTAAACACAATCAATAATGTGGAGCAGGGAATCATGCACTGCAGAGACCAAAGTACCTCCAAGTATCTCTATTTAATAGCACATTTTTAGGCTGGTGAAAAATGGCAGTTCTCTTCTTTACATGAATGGTTGAGGGCAACTGAGAGAGCTTTACTTTTCTAACTGTTGTGAAGTAAATTCCAGAACCAAATGTAGTACCTACTTGAATAGCGTGCAATCCTGGCTGCAGCGATGGTGTTTTTTTGGTGTTTTCTTGGTAAAGAAAGCAGCTCTGCACTCATAAACACTACTTTAATATATATCATTAAGAGGTCAAATGTTTTCTAAAGTAGTTCACACTGCACAATCTTTTCGCTTGCTGACAGGCAATCATTGACAAATTATTAGGAATCCCAGAATCAGATACAATAGAGAATCTGTGGCCAATGCCTGACATGCTAAATATCAGGACCTGTCAGCAAAACAAAATCATGTTATATCAAAGTGTCCTGACAGAAAAACACATCGGCGATGACCTACAGCCAATCAGAAAGCAGAGTTCGGGGAGGAGTTACAGACTACATCCAAATAAATAAGTAGTATTAAAAAGAAAACAGGCAGAAACATTAGCCGCAGCAACCACTACTGGTACAGGAGCCAATCAGCCATCGGTATAAACTGATTTTTCTCCGAGAGAAGAAGCTCAGACCAGACGTGTGCTTTTATGACAGTTTTTTTGGTCAACAAACAAACTGGAATCTGAGTGAATACTAGCTTTACAGACATAAGAAGTATATCCACATAAAGCTGGAAATTTCTAATTTTAAATGAACCAACTACACTTGAAAACTAAAGGGTTTTGGTTTTGTTATCTCTATGAAACTAACGCGAGGTACAGTCCGTCCTGTCAAACACACATCACATGACAGAAACTACTCAAACCCCCACAAACTCATAAATAAGAGTCGCTGTCAATTCTGAAGGAGATTCGTCATCAAGAACAAGTTGTGAGTAACTTCAGAGGAGCTGCGCGATCAGAAGATCATTATCCAGAGGATGATAATGTGTAACACGGCATAAATGAGGTTAGTGTCGTGATCTCGTTCCTTTCTAGTGGGCATTAGCTCGGGCAACCTGAAAACATGCTGATTTTTTATTTTTTTTGAACATTTAGACTTGAAACTTATTCTGCTGTTATGTGATTGGTTCGTTCTTTTTCCTATTTTTTTGCTTTCTTTTTCTTAATAGGTGAATCATTAAACAGATGCAGCTATTCTTATGGCATATTTAATGAGCTAGTAAGATGCATTCGAGAGACTTTCACTTTCTCCAGAGAACTCATGATAACAACGTGAGCGTGATTATTGAAGTGCTTCTGACATCAAAACGCGAGAGTGAATCGCGAAAAAAACAGAGCAAATGATTGTTTCAGTAACCCAAACCATGATCAAACTGCCATGTTTAACTATTATCCTCACCTTTTGGACTACTATGAACTCGGAATGATGGAATTACTTTCTAACAAGAGGCTACATGTGCTGGTGAAGGTTAAAAACATAAATGAGAGGTTTGCACTGACTGTGAGCTTTATGTTGCGTGTTGTTTTTGAAGCCAAATAAGGACTAAATGTCTGCTGTGTGTAGTTTTTCTGTAATTGGTAACATATCGGAGACTGTAAGGGTCTTTATGTGGTCATATATGTTGCATTTATTTATTTATTTTATATAATTACAGACGTTACAGTAAGCTGTTTCGCACTGTCATTGATCTGCAGTTATAATCAAATTATGTCCATAGAAAGGTTAGTAATGAACATTTATACACAAGTATCTATGTGTATAAAGCATCTGTTTTGTTATGATATGTGAACGACCCGTACAGCTTTACTTTGGGCAAGATTTTCTTGAGCGAGAATAACATTGACTGAAACTTTCTGTCATACACCACACCCACCAAAAGGGTACCATTGACAGTAAAAACTCAAACCTGATAAACGTGACCCGTACCGTACTGTACCACTATTAGAGTCTATTAGACTATTAGAGTCTATTAGACTATTAGAGTCCATTAAAGGGACTTTGGTTTTGAGTTGATTTGTGTTGTGTATTCTTCTGTCACTAATCCATAGCGCAGTGTTAACACAGCAGCAACTGAACGCTGTCATTGTATAACGATGGATTGCTCTGTAGACAATCGAAAAAAAAATATTGCTTCAGGAGACTAATAATATTTTAATAATGTTTTAAATAGCCAATATAAAACAAATATCTCCAGAAGAAAAAATATTACAGCAAATCCTGTGATAAATTACTCGGTTAAACATAATTTGGCAAATATTTGAAAAAGAAAACAAATTCACAGGAGGGCTAATGGAGGCACTTCAACTACACATATTCTGATACATGTTGACTTTAAACACATGTAATAGCAGGACTCACCAGATTGTGGCTCTTGGCTGAGATGATCTTCGTAACATCAGGGTCCCACAGAACAAGATCGGCATCTGAGCCCACAGCAATGCGGCCCTTGCGCGGATACAGGTTGAAGATCTTAGCAGCATTGGTGCTGGTGACAGCCACAAACTGATTTTCATCCATTTTTCCTGTTACCTACAGGCGACAGGGACCACAGGGAGAGATGACAGTTGGTCTCGATTGTGTTTGTGTCCACTGGAGTGTGCCTGTCTGTTCGGCTGCAACTATTTAGACTCTCATGACTACTGACTAATTGTGTTTATGCGACTAAAGGAGGAGTAGATGGTGTGCTGTGGCAGTTTGTGATTAAATGTCAGCCCTTATTGTTTGCAGGTTAGCATTTGTGTCTTACCACACATTTGTCCCAGATGATGGACATCCTTTCCTCTGTGCCATTGGTGCCCTCTGGGATGAGGGTGAAGTCATCTTTACCAACAGCTCTCTGGGATGTGTTAAAGGTGCAGTGAGCACTTCCTGTTACCTGCAGATCCCCACTGTGAGAAAACAAATATCATTATAGGACAACATGAAAGATGTACATTAACTACTTGGTACAAAAATGTACACTAAACCTAACTCTAAATGAACTCTAAATGAACTAAAACAGGCCTTTTTGTTTAAACTTATTATATTACTGACGTAGTAGGGCACCTACCTACCCCTTTTTTAAGATTTAATATAAGTCTTTTGTGACTCCAGAATGTGTCTGTAAAGTTTCAGCTGAAAACACCCATCAGATTATTTATTGTACCTGTTAATATTGGATTTTCTCCTCTGAACCCAATGTAACTGTTTTTGTTGCCTGTGCCTTTAATGCTAGTTCTACCTGCCCACCGTTCCCACATGACTGTTAGAGTGTGCCTCAATCTCTTCCTCAGCTGCATCAGATAAACAGCACAGTGACAGACATGACCAAAGAAGAAGATCTCATGTAACATGTCTAAAGATGTTGTGTGTATTTGTTTTGGAGATAACTCAAGCCTTTATGCAACGATGAGTGATTCAGAATGTTGTTACAAAGTTAACACACACACAGCGCATTTTTGCATGGCAAATGTGATAGAATAGACATGAATTTCATCTGCTATATGAATATCCGTAATGTTAATGTACAAAATAAACCAGATTTAAAGTCTACAACCTGGGATTGAAGCATCTCCTTTTATAATTGTACTGACATGCAGCTTTGGTGATAAAATAAAATTGCTGTAATTCATTACAAACAAGCACTGTTTTAAAAACGCTTTAAACTTATGAAATTCAATCTTCGTCACATTTAATGGTGATTGATGATCACAGAGAGCTGAACAGATCTTTTATTCCCGGTTGCTTTGCGCAAGTCCTGCCTTGTTAATATGCTTATATGCGTTACAACAGAGACATGTTAATACGTGGCTGACAATCAAATCGGTGGGTGGGAACTGCACTACTACGCCATGTTGCAGTGAGCCTCAAAATGGGAGGGACTTGGATCATATTTTAACATCAGGAAATTTCAAAATAGAGACTTATTGTCTTCATATCACCCCGATATGACTGTGGACACACTATAACTAAACACAGTTCTATTCAAACAGCTTACAAAAGATGATTTTTATCATAGTTGCCTTTTAATATAAAATAAGTACTACTCTGGAGAATAAGAACTAATAAAATACTGCAAAATTCTTTGTGGTTGTTTTAAGAATAAAATGTAATAATAAAAATATTAAATAAAATTATTGTTTCAGAGGTGAAATCTGATCGTATTCCGGCACAAATTAAGCCCTGATAATAACTAATAAAATACTGTAGAATTCTGTAATAAAAATAATAATAATTGTTCAAATTATTATTCATACATTGTATTATTATTGTTTCCATTTTATTTCTTAAAATATATTAAATAAAGTATTTTTATTATTATTATTATTAAAATTATTGTTCTCATTATTTATAATGTTTTCCCTTCTTTGTATAATCTTTAAAAAACATAAAACAGTCGGTTCATTGATATTTCCTAATTAAAATTTTATTTAATAGTTGTGTTGAATGTATTTTATTTATAATAACAATAATTATTATTATTATATTTTGTTAAGAAAATAAATGATTTAAATCAATAACCATGTTTGTAATTCTTTTTAATGTATTATTATTTTTAAATGAATAAGAATAGTCTAATATTAGTAGAATGAGTGCTCTTACCAGGACAGCAGTGAGTTGAGATAGTCTGGTGTGGTGGGATCTGGACTCAAGGGTGGAGACGTGACGTAGGCGGCAGCCTTGGCCCAGTTCTTGCTCCAATAGTGTGATCCATCCGTGCCAATACTCGCTGTGATAGGCTCTCCATACACCACGGTGCCTAAATGGTTCAAAGATACCAAATTAGGAACAGCCTATGTAATTTCACTGTAATTCCCTTGCCTAATTCTAGAGCCTGACCACTATGATGTCATTTCAGGCCGTCCAGCCAAGAACAGCTGAGTCATAGCATGCTTTCCTTTTTTCTTTTTTTATTACTTTGCAGTGCATCCCGGCTCATAAAACCTGGCCTGCTTGTCCAGACTTTTAATATGTCCATTTAATGGTGTGGAGAGAGTAGCATTCGATG